CCGTTCCCCAGGCTCGTCCGGGACGCGCGCCCGGGCGGCGGGGGCTTGGCGGCCACCGCTGCCTCGGGGGAGCGAGGGCGGGAGAGTGTGTGTGCGCGCGTGTGAGCAGGGGGTGCCGGCGGGGCTGCAGCGGAGGCACTTTGGAAGAATGACTCTGGAGTCCATCATGGCGTGCTGCCTGAGCGAGGAGGCCAAGGAAGCCCGGCGGATCAACGACGAGATCGAGCGGCAGCTCCGCAGGGACAAGCGGGACGCCCGCCGGGAGCTCAAGCTGCTGCTGCTCGGTGAGTACAGCCCGGGGCCGGCCGCCGCGGGCCCACCCGCCGGGCCTTTGCACCCTCCGCCTGCCACCCTCGGTGCCCCGGGGCAAGTGCCCTCCGCGGTCTTCGCCCCCGGGCGCCGGTGGCTCGCCCCTACCCTTCCCGGGCGCGCCCCCGGCCACTACCCGCACCCGCGCGGGCGCGCGCGCGCGTACACGCACACACATACACAGGCGCGCGCGCAAAGGGGTCGGGGTGGCCCTGCCCCGAGCCTCGGCGTGTGCCTTTTCGTGTCCCTAAAGGCTGTGTATCAGGGGTGCGCGTTTATCTGCTGTGCTTCTGCTAAATGGCCCATCATTTCGGGGGAGAGGCGCGGAGGTGGGAAGGTGGCAGAGGGGTTGAACTTCCAGTGTGGTGGCCGCAGCGCTCGGTGGGGTGGTGGAGTGGGGAGTTGTGTGTGTGTGGCCCGAGGGTGGCGAGCGGAGCCAGGGTACGTTGGGGGATGGCGTGCGGTGGGATGGCCTGTGTGCATCCATTATTAGTGCTTTCTGGGTTCAGGAGGGAATGGTGGAATGGTGAGCAGACTCGCAACTGGATTCTCCTGGCGGTGATGATGAGGGAGCCGAGTGGTTGGCCCTCCAAAGAAAGGAGGCTTGTGTACTCGGGGGGCGGGGAGGCGAGCCCTAATGTGTCACATAAGTGCTGTTCTCCAGCCACCAGACCACCGAAAGGAGAGACCTAGAAGAGTTTCTTGACCAGTGGATGGTGACAGGCGTGTTTCTCGTCTGCACCATTTCTTCTAGATAAAGATGAGGGATAGGGGAGCGTTGTGCTGTGTGTTGACAGCGACGAGTATCTTTTGTTTAATGAGGCAACCCAGATGTAGGCCTGAATTCACAATAGTTACTACTGAAAACCAGTACAGCCTCTCAATTACTCCCTTGGAAACAAATAGAAACCTTTTGTTTAAAACGGACAGCATTTTAATATTTTTGGAATCTGGGCTAGAAGGAAAACGGGAAGTATACAACAAAAATTTCCCTTTAATCTCTAAAAAAAAAACAATCCCACATTCTGCCTTAACACTAAGTTAGCAAGAAAATGCCATTTCTCAGATAGGAATTCTATTGATTATTATCTCTGAGAGTATGTTCAGAATGAACGATCAGGGTTCACATACAAGCCAGTGTGACAGCTCTGAGCTATTGTGGTAGGAAGAGCAAACAGCTTTGCAATAACAGGCCTGAAAAATGTCTCCACTTGTGTTCTGGATATTTGGTGTGTAATAAATACGTTTCTCAGACATTTCTGTAAGAAAAGGACGTTATATTGTCAGGATTTGAGAAGCATGCATTTTCTTTCTTATCTTGAGCATTCCATCTCCTGGTTCAAGGAACCAGTGGCCTTTGGGACTGAACTGCTTATGTACTGGATCATTTACAAGAAGGAATGAAATATAATGATCATGGAGAGTTACAAATGGTTAATTCACATGCAGTGCTCTATGTCTTCATTTTGAAACCAGATTAGATAAATGTGCACATGTTTATAAAGAAGAGAAGGCAGAATGCTGGATAAAAGAGGTAGGCTTTAGGGAATGAAGCCAGGGGAAGGGAAAACTGCCATTGGAAAATGAAGATCTTTTTATTTTTCATTTTTATTCTCATTTTGGGCTACTTCTAATGGCTAAAACTGTGTAGTTGAATCGGTTTTCTGAATTCTCAAGATTGAGAAGAAAATAGAAGGGGCAGGAGAAATGTATATAGAGTATTTAAGTACACGATTAAGGGGAAAAGCATGTGTGTTAGAGAGACTTAAGAACGGTTTTTCTATTTCTTTTGCCCTGTTTACAGTCTTTGTTTCTGTTTTGCTGTGAATGGGGCATTTGAGGTCTCCCAAGCCAACCCTATTGCCCAAAATGTGACAGCTCTGGGTTCCTAGCAGCTGTGAGTTAGAGCCCAGGGGGTTTGTCTGTCTGAGGGCCCAAAGTTTGAATGTCTAGGAGGAGGATTTTTGGGGAAATACACATATATGGATGCTTAACTACAAACTGTGTGTTTAAATAACATACTGTGCTTTAAAAAATGAACTTGGAGATAATTTTATGAGAAAAAAATTAAAGTAAAACAGTTTTATTGCTAGTGGTGGTAGTTCGGAGAACTTTTGTTTTCTGTTATTAGATTTCAGTAAGGTTTAATACAGCCCCACCCCCACCTCCAAATATGCTCTATTGGAAGTGGTAGAAAAATATGACATTAATTTAGCACCTACACTCATTAGTAACACTTAAAATTTATAAGGCTTTCTGTTAGAAACATTATCCCTAGACATCATGTAAGAATTGCTACAGCTTCCTGTTCTGGGGTGTGTTGCTTTTGTAACATAGCTTCTGCAATACCTCCACTATTTATGTAGTAGATGCTATATACTAATTGTAGATTTATGTGTGCTCATGAGCCTGTGATTGCACGATTTCTTGAGTCCAGGAGAGAAATGATGGTTGACTTGAACCAGAGAAGGTGTTGGCAAGGGGTTTGAGAAACTCCCGGTGTGCTCCTTTGATGAGTGCACTGAATCTTCTGGTTCCTTCATTCTTTTAAACCATACCTATCCAAAGGAGGTCACAGGATGTATCCTTGCATAGTTGAAAGTTTTACCAATATTTTTAACTACTTTATTCAAATTGAGGAATCCCTCATATTTACATGAAATTCAGTATGAAATTATTTTCAAAGTAAATTTTAGTTTAAGGCATGATACCATTTTGATTCAGATAGATTTATCTGGCAGGCATAAAAGTGTGGACCCTTACATTTATTCACATAATTATTTAATTTTATATATTGATAATATGGAGAAATTAGAAAGGGAAAATAGTGGATACCTGCCTGGAAGAAAGTATGGCAGTAAAATTTGGGTTGTTTTGATATATATCCAGCAATTATGCCAATGTGTTCCAAATTCTATAGTACTTACATATTTTGATTTTTATTCTTTTTTTTAAAAAGGAACCCAGAAGCCTACCACCATAAAATATCTTATTAAATTCTGAATTCTTTTCTTGTTTTCTTTAACTTATTCATTCTCTGAATTCATTTTTTTTTTAGTGTTTATTTCTTTTGATACCTCAAGGAAGACTTTGTATTCTACATATATGCAAGAGAATATTTTAACTTGGTTGATGTTTTTATATACTTTCTGGGTGTAAAGTACATTATATTTTCTTTAATTGATTAATATTCATTAATATTAACTAAATATTTCTATTGGTGGTACATGGGTCACACTATTTAATATCAGTATGTCTTTAAGTCTGTATAAAACAAGTGGTTTTGAATGCCTGCCTCCAGTTGCAATATTCATCCTGAAATTTTTTTCAGTTCCTTGAAGATACATTTTTTTTCCTATTAACCTGTTCTTATTTTACATGTTTTTGAAATCTGTACTCTTCAGATTTTAATCATCAAATAGAAAGATTTAGCAAACTCTGTTTATTGATTAGATTCCACCTTTTGGAAACAGGCAAAGTTTAGACCAATCTTAGATGGAAGAATATATGTTGTTGATCTTTTAACTGAATTGCATATGTGATTATAGATTTTCTTCCTTTTCTAGACTGGAAGCTTCTGAGGGTAGCGATTGTGTCTGTGTTGTTCACTATTAAATCCCAGCTTCTAGCACAATGTCAAACTCATAAAAGGCTCTCAATAAATATTTGTTGAATGAGTAAATTTACTTATGACTCTTCTGGTAGAAATTGGGACGTTAAAATAATGAATAAATCATAGAGACACGGAAATATGTAATGTTTGTATTCCATGGCAGATAAAATCATAATCTTCTTTAAAAAACTGTATGTAGGGCCGGCCCCGTGGCTTAGCGGTTAAGTGCGCGTGCTCCGCTGCTGGCGGCCCGGGTTCGGATCCCGGGCGTGCACCGACGCACCGCTTCTCCGGCCATGCTGAGGCCGTGTCCCACATGCAGCAACTAGAAGGATGTGCAGCTATGACATACAACTATCTACTGGGGCTTTGGGGGGAAGAAAAAATTAATAAATAAGTCTTTAAAAAACTGTATGTAACTCTTTGAGCCAATTGAATACAAATGCATTCCAGGATCGGAAGTGTTACTGTAAGATGTTACATCACATATTGACCCAGTGTATTACAGTTCGTGCTGGGTGCATTTGGGAATGATACCAGTCATGCTTAAAGTATGAAAGTTTAAAGGAAAAAAAAAAAAGAAACCATTCCATTACTTTTTCTCGTGTAGAAGCTAGTTTAACTCTATCATCTTTTGCCATAAATGTTTCTCCGTGATACACTCATCGGAGTGGACTTTTAAATTCTCTGGAGCACAGGTGTTAACAGATTTTTGCGATTTACTTATACAGTTACGTGAGGACAACCACAGTGATTAAATACAGAATTTTGGAATTGCAGGTAGAACCTTTTTAATTTGAGGGGTATACATTTGTACTGAAAACTGTACAGTTACAGAGCAGGAAGGGACCTGGAAGGCTGGGAATGCTATGGCAAATTTAGACTGTATGGAGAGTTCATTCATGCAGGTCTGGATACAAGCACCCGCCCCCCTACCCCTCCTGGAGTTCACTGGAGGAAGAATGGGGATGTTGATTGCCCGAATTAACTGTGAGGTTAGTGGCTGTCTAGGATGGCTGCTCAGAACCACAGAATGAAAGCATCTCTCTAAAGCAGCCCTAATAGCAGCATCTCCCTGGAAATACCAAAATATGGTGTTTATGAAGCTGCTTTAAGACCAACCAGTTTTATTTTTGCTACTCTTTTAGCTTCCAAGTGTTAATTATGTTTCTAAATGTCAAGATTTATTTGAATGCATTTCCTGTTTTTTTTTTTTTGAAATAAAGTACTTCTAGTTTATATCTGAAGAGTGAAGTGGAACATCCCTCATAAAATTAAAAACTGTAGCTCTGGGCCGGCCCCGGGCTTAGCGGTTAAGTGCGCGCGCTCCACTGCTGGCGGCCTGGGTTTGGATCCCGGGCG